TACAGCATCGTCTGCACCGAAGGGTCGCTGTTCAGTCCGGTCTCCCTCACAGCGCCGTGTTTGTGCCTGTCTTCCTGGAATTCTGAGCAGTCTGCTGTTCCTCTCCGAGCGCGTGGGCCCTTCTGTTTCAGCACGGACGCCACTCTAAGTCTGCATCTGACACGTGCGCTGTGCGCCGTCACTGTGCTGGGCCTAGAGCCTACCCGAGCACAGCTCGGTCCCAAGTCCGCGGTTGCTGTGTTGTCCAGAACGAACAAAGGGAGCTCCCGAAATGACAGCTCCTGCCTGCGAGCCTCCATCTGGTCGAGGCAGGCCTCAGTGCCTCACGTGAAGTTATTGGCCTGTGATCAGACTCCACAGGCTTCTAGGCCTTACTGCAGAGGGACCGGCTCCAGGCTCCTGTGCAGTGTGACGTGCCATCCGTTTTCATTTCCATCCCATGGGTGGACAGTCACTCTCTCTGTTTTGCGTTGCCTGGGGTTTGGGATGGAATGGTGTGTGCAGTTGGATGATCACCAATGATCAGATAAATTGCACTGAGAGCCCACAGTGCACCAACCGCAGTGCTATGGCTGTCTTCTGTTACTTAGGTGGACAAATGGCCCCCGCCTGCCCTGCCCAGTCATAGGTGATACTGGCTGCATAGAAGTCTGATCAACTAGTGCCCTGTGTCCCCACCTGTCACCAGGGCATGTAGAAGCTCCGCCCACAGACACTGGACTGGAGACGGAAGCACTGAGACCTGCCCAGTGTGAGGTTACCAGTCTGACAGCTATAAGACACAGTCCTGTGCTTCCTTCCTGCCCTACCCTCTAGTGGAGGACTTCTGCTCCTCGCTGTGCTGCCCAAGGTCCAAAGAGGCCGGTGAAGACGGCTCCTTGGCCACCCAGGATGACGCTTAACTGGGTCGCACCTGAGTCTCACAACCCAGGGACCTGTACCGTGTGTGTACTGGGGCAGTGGGACGGGCACACCAGGCCCATGCCACAGCTGGTTGTAAGGCAGCCAAAGTCTAAGTCCATCCCATGGCGGGACAGGTCTCCACCTGCTGCTGGGCAGGGCTACAGGTTCTGTCTGGGAGTGGTGACCTGGGCACTAAGGCCTTTCAGCCCTGCGTGGTGCCGGGGGGCTCCCCACAGTGCCATTGGTACTAAGCTCTAAGGAAAGTCCTGGGCTCCTTTTCCTGCCCTGTCCTCACTGTGCTGCCTACGGTTGGGGGAAAGGCGGTGGAAGTACTCCCTCAGCCATCTGGGGGGAGGAGGATCTGTGTGTGCCAGTGGCCGGGGGACAGGGGCCTCTGTCTAGAGCTGGGATTGAGTTTTCGTAACTCTGAGATCTGAGCATAATTCCGTCTCCCTGCTCAAGTGGGAGGCATCTCTGTCCATGCTGTGCTGCTTGGTTTTAGGAGAGGACTGAACAGACAGTTCTTTGCTTTCTGCTTTCTTCAAGGCATCTTTGTATCACCAGACCGAAGCCAGGCACCCTGGTATTCCACCTGGCTCCCTGAGCCCCTGTGAAGGTCCTTTGGTTTATGAACAGCTATCCGGTAGCTGTCTCTTTGGGAATCCATGGCTGGCGCATCTAATTCAGCTGCTGTCTCACTCCCAAACTCATAATTTTAACCCCCCCAAAAGAAATCTCTTGGCCCATATTCACAGAATTTTGTGAATCATTTAATTAACACAAATTCTACACAGTTTCTCCCAGAAAACATAAGAGTTCATGTTATGAAACTACTGTTGTCCCGATAACCAAAACCAAAGACAAAACCATAAAAATAGGAAGGGGTGGGGGAGAATAACAGAATAAGATCCCCCATAAATCAGATTTAAAAATCCTTAACAAAGTATTAGCAAGTATAATTCAATACTAGTAAGAAGAATTATATACCCTGACCAAACAGGGTCTGTTGCAGAACTCAAGGCTGTCACAGCATTCAGAAATCAGTGTGATCCCCTACGTGAGCAGGCAGAAGACGGAAACCACATGATCACAGTATGTGGCACAGAAAAAGCATTTCACAAAATCTGACAATTATCTATGACAAAAAAATTTCGGAAAAAAATTAGGAATAGAAGGAAACCTACTCAACTTGATAAGATCCAATCTCATCACCCCCTTCAGCATTATGCTTGAAGTTCTACCCACTGTAATGAGGTAATAATAAGGGGGGATAAAGCAACAGGTCAGAAAGGAAGAAATAAAATAGTCTCTATTCACAAAATAGGTTATTTTCTAGGGAGAAAATCCAAAGGAATTTCAAAAAAAAAAAAAAAGATTCAGAACTGACAAGTTCTGCTAGGCTTTGGGGTTAGCAGTACTGCTGTAAATAAGCCATGAGCATGTGGACAAATATAGACCCATCTCAAAAAATGAGATACGTAGTTATCAGTTTACAGATACGCACAGGGCTTGTATGTTGAACACTACACAGCGTGAATAAGAGAAATCCGGAAGCTAAGCGAATGGAGAACACAGGATGTTCACGGATTGGGAGACTCAGCACAAAAAGGATTCAGTTCTTCCCAAACTGGTACACAAGTTCCACACAGTCCCCACCAAATAAGAGCAAGAATTGGTAAAAATAGACAAGATGATTTTAAATTGTGTATGCAAAGATGTTTAAATCACAAAAAAAACAATTTGAAAAGAAGGACAAGGAGGGAGGATTCACTTACGTGATTTGATTTCAGCTCCCGTTACACAGCTGCACACACAGGCAGTGTAGCACTGGAGGAGGAGAGACGCTGACCAGGGGACCGAGAACCCAGAAACGGACCCACGCACAGCATGTGCAATGATTTTGACAAGAAGGCCAAAGCCAGTCAGTGCAGGAAAGGTGGTGCTGGGACAGTTGGACCTCCACAGGCCGAAAAGTAGATGTGACTTGAACTCACATCTTATTCGACACAAGTTCAAAATGGATCATGGTCTTAATAATGCACAATAGAGCTCTTAGGCTTGGCTCCAAAAGCCTGATTCATTAAAAAGGAATTGATAAATTGGGCTTTACCAAATAAAAAACATTTTCTCTGGTAAAAGATCCTGAGAAGTATATAAAATGCAAACTGGAAAATAAGAGAAAGTACTGGCAAACTACATAAATAAGAGTGAGGCGAAGGAACTCTCAAAATTCCACATGAAGAAGACATTTCACTTTAGAAAATGAGCAAAAGACATTAAGAGACACTTCACCATACAGCAGATACTGACGCTGCGTACCACGTTAAAAGATGCTCAGTTAGAGGAATGCAAGTTAAATACGCAATGAGAGAGCACTGTGCATTGTCAGGCTAAAATAAAAACCAGCAACAGCGCCAGATGTCAGTGAGGCTGCGGAGAAATTGAATCACTTACGTATGGCTGGTGAGAATGTGGAATGGATTAGCCTCTCTGGAAAAACAGTTTGGCAGTTTCTTAGAAAGCTGAATACGGGAGCAGGCATTTGGCACAGTGGCTAAGATACTGTTGGGATGCCTGCATCCCACATCAGAGTGCTTGGTTTGGGTCGCAGCTCTGCTTCTGATTCCAGCGTCTTGCCAGTACACGCCCTGGGGGGCAGCAGGTTATGTCTCAAGAAATTGGGTCCCTTGGGCCGCGGCTCACTAGGCTAATCCTCCACCTTGCGGCGCCGGCACACCGGGTTCTAGTCCCGGTCAGGGCGCCAGATTCTGTCCCGGTTGCCCCTCTTCCAGTCCAGCTCTCTGCTGTGGCCCAGGAGTGCAGTGGAGGATGGCCCAAGTGCTTGGGCCCTGCACCCCATGGGAGACCAGGAGAAGCACCTGGCTCCTGCCATCGGATCAGCGCGGTGCGCCGGCTGCAGTGCGCCAGCCGCGGCGGCCATTGGAGGGTGAACCAACGGCAAAGGAAGACCTTTCTCTCTGTCTCTCTCTCTCTCACTGTCCACTCTGCCTGTCAAAAAATTAAAAAAAAAAAAGAAAGAAAAAAAAAGAAATTGGGTCCCTGGTTGTTGTGAGCATTTGGAGGGTGAACCAACAGAATGAAGATTTTCTCTCTCTCTCTCTCTTACTCTCTTTCTTCCTTTCTCCCTTTCTCTCCCTCTCTCTTCTCCCTTCTCCCTCTCCTTGTCTACCTTTAAAATATGATGGAAGTAAACAAAAATGTTTCAAAACCTAAATATGTAACTACTGTATTACCCAGCAATTGCTGCTACTCATTCCCAGGGAAATGAAGACTCCAGCTCACACGGAAGCCTGTAAACAAGTATCAGTGTCACTCTGTTTGTACTAGGCATAGACTGGAAACAGTCATATGACCTTCCATGAATGAATCATTAAGCTGTGTGTTCAGACAGCCATCCCAGGGATTGCCACTCAGCACTATTGCAGAATGAACTACTGATACGCAAAACAACCTGGATGAATCACCAGAGAATCTTGCTGAAAAATGGTGACCCCGGAAGGTTACACACTGTCCAGTTCCATTAATACATTTTTGAGATAAAATTTTTAATTGGATCACAGATTAATGTTGCTAGGAGTTCAGGGGAGCGGACAGAGAAAGAGGGAAGTAGGCTCCATAAAAGGGCACCGAGAGGGCATTCCTCTGTGTCTCGGCCACGTCAGCGTCACATCCTGATTATGATAACGCACTGTGGTTTTCCAGGATGTCACATTCGGGAGAAACTCGGCAAAGGGCACACGGGATCTGTCTGGATTGTTTCTTCCAAATGTGTGTAAGTCTGTAATTATCTCAGCATGTGAAAGCTTAATTAAATGTGGTTGAAATTCTGTGATTGAAAAATAGAATTTCTAAAAAAATCCCACGTCTTCTAGGCACCTGGAAAGACAGCACTGAAGTAGTGCTGAGAACTCAGGACTAGAGATGAATACTTCAGTCTCTTGGAAGTCTAACAGCAGGACAAACTCACCAAAAGGGAAAAATATGGCTTATACTATAACCATGTACTAGGACTACAAAGTAGGTACATCAATGGCAAAAAACAAACCAAAAAATCATGTATCTCGTTTCTTTTATAGACTAAGGTCAGCCACTTGCATAAATATGAAGAGATACAGCACGTCCTGGACGCCACCAAGAAATCCTACTTTTATATGCCAAAGGCACCTGCTAGCCGAGCCTCCAGAGTGGCTCCCCTCCGTGCCCCAGAGGTCGCAGGAAGATCTGTCACCTCTTAAAGGCCTCAAGAGGAGGAAAAAGCAGTCTCCGTTCTGGGACACAAGGATTGAAGACTTGAAAGCGCTCCGCGGCAGATGGGAGACCGTGCCCTCGAGTTCCGACATGGAGGCCAATGTTATAAAAGACAAGACTCTTCAAGCCGCCGCGTGCAGCCAGCCGAGCGCGAAGCCAACGGCGCCCCCTCTGACCAGAAGGAAGCAGGAGCAACCGGAGAAGGGGGACGGACGCCCCGCCTTCCTCCCGCATTCCCAAAGGGACGCGTGACGCAGCTTCGTGCTGCTCCAACACGGTGCGTGCAGGCCAGACCCCAGTGCCGACATGGCCGAGAGCGGCAAGAGCGAAGCCCTTCCCTGTTCCTCCCTCTGCATACGCCGGCGTGTGTGCTGCACTAGCAAGTCCACGTAGCCCCTCTTCTTTGGTGGAGATGTGTTTCCAGAGATTTGAAAAGAAACTCAAATAGAGGCCATTTTAAAACACTGAAATAGTTATATTTAATTTTTGTCAACATAAAAAAATCTGAACTTTTTATTTCTTATGACTTATTCATACAACATCAAAAAAAAAAAAAAGAAAAACTAAGAAATCAAAGAAGATTGATATTTACTATCAGTAATTTTAACTGCCCTGCTAGATGCTTCAGTGAATTTAATGAATCGGTGGACAGAAGTCACTTCCTACATTTATGTTACATTGGTGCACTAGGAACCACATTATTATCATGTAATTATACGTGTAAAACGTACATGACTAAAATGATTGCAGAGTAAGTGCGTGGCATGGCAAAGTGCTAAGTTGTGCGTCTCCAATAATTAGCGACAGTACCACATATTAGAAGTTGCTAATTGCACAGAGCTGAAATGCGTATGTCGTGATTTAAGGAAGCACTTGACTTCCCCGGGGTTGGCAACGGTGTGAGAGTCGACGCACACTTTCCCTGAAGGCTGTGCGCACACCTCTGTGGACGTCTGTCCGTGTGGCCCTGCCGTGGGCCCAGCACCGCTCCGTCTGTCATTCATAAAGCAGTGAGCGCTTCGAGGCTTTCCGGAGGACATGCAGAGGAACAGGTGGGACGAGCAGCTGAAGTTCAGAGGACCGTGGTGGGGAAGCACTCGGTGTGGGACCCGGGACAGCGTGAGGTTAGGCGGAGTGAGGGTCGGCAAGCCGAGGCTCGTCAAAGGTGCAAGGTGGAACTCGGCAGGTCTGAGCTCCGGTGATTGTATTAGGGACTCCCGACTACGGTGAAATACCAGAGGCAGCTGCCTTTAGAGACAGGAAGGTTTGTGTAGCTCCCAGTTCTGGAGGGTCCAGTGCGTGGTGATGGGGAGGGTGGCGGTGCGTGAGTGGACCGCAGCGTGTATTGGCGCTGACATCATGCTGGAACAAGAGCTGTCAAATTCAGCTTGCCTTGCACAGATCAGCGCAACAGCCTCAACTCGGGAAATCTTGGTTTGCAGTTTAGTGAAATATCATTTGAACCCTCATTGTCAGAGCATTTGGGATTGTGAAGTCAGAATCAGTTATCTTTGGGACTCCTAGGACAAAATGATCAACCAGTTTCTTGGAAGATTGAAGGATACAGAGATACTGCCTAAACCAGCTCACCTAGGTTTCGCCCATAATTGCTGGTCCTGTATCTTAACCATTTGGTGTCAATACCTTACAAGATCCTTCACTTAGGTAGGAGGACACGTGTAGGCGTCTTCCCCACGCTGCTGGTTGTGCTGCAGTTTCTGTGAGCACGTCGTTCTCTTTCGTAAAAACCATCCATCCTGCTCGGCGTCCTCTCTATCAGTCCACCTGGCAGGTCCCTACTTCTCCTTTAAGAGTCGCCTATGAAGATCTTCCCTAGATGTGCCCCACCTCCCAAGAATTTAAAATCATAATGATTGATATGCTGAGAGTTCCAATGAGAAAAACCGACAATACGCAACCACAGATTGGAAATACCAGCAGAGACGGAAACAAACAGCGGAAATGCTAGAGAACTGAAGCACTAACAGAATGAATGATGGACTCACCAGCAGACTGGACACAACCGAGGGAGGAATCCGTAAGCCTGAAGAAACTTAAGCCGCAAAGAAAAATACAGAATATCTGAGAACTGTGAGACAATTGCAAAAGGTGTATCAGGTGTGCTGGGCCAGCCTTGTGTTATTACAACAGAATACCAGAGGCAGCTAAAGAGAAAAGGCTTATCGCAGAGCTTGGGAGGTTCAAGGGCATGGCACCTGCATTGGCTCAGCTCTCGGGAAGGCCCTCCTGATTGCAGTCAAATCATGACATGGATGCCTGTGTATAAAAGAGCTTACATCACCCAATAAGGCTTGAGAGAGACACAGATTACAAAGGGATGGAGAAAGATGCAGCATACTAGCACCCCCCCCCAAAAAAAAAAAAAGCTGCAACGCCTCTATTTCAGACAGAGCAGGGACCCGCGTTCTGGCACAGTTCATCAAGCTGCCACCCGCCGTGCCAGCGTCCCATAATCAAAGCACCAGTTCAAGTCCCAGCTGTTCCGCTTCCAATCCAACTCCCTGCTAATGCACTGGGTGCTGGTTCCTGGCTTTGGCTTGGCCCGGCCCCCTGTTGTAGCCATTAAAAAAAAAAAAAACTTTCATTTTATTCATTTTGAAAAGTAGAGTAACAGAGAGAGAGAGATCTTTCATCCTCTGGTTCACTCCCCAAATGGCGACAATGGCCAGGGCTGGGCCAGGCCAAAGCCAGGAGCCTGGAATGCCATCTTGGGCTCCTACATGGGTGCAGGGGCCCAAGCACTTGGACCATCTTCCGCTGCTTTCCCAGGCACATTAGCAGGGAGCTGGATCAGACGTGGATCAGCTGGGACTCGAACTGGTGGCCATAAGGGATGCCGGCACTGCCGACAGCAGCTTAACCCACTGCACACAGCACAGGCCCCGAATACATCTTTTCAAAACAGACAAAAAGCAGACCTCGGCACGAGGGAAATTATCAGAGATGAAGAGGGGTAAATTCTCAAAGAAGATCCAACATTCCTTAATGGATATGCATCTAACGACAGCCTCAAAATGTGTGCGGCAAACGCTGGAAAACAGAGGCTCAGAGCATCCTGATTTCTAATTAGATTCTTGTCCACACAGAGAGAAGAATCCTAAGCGGGGATATCGTAGGGAACACAAGTGACAACAAGAGTTATGTAGCAGTGAGGGAGAAAACAGGGTCACCCGGGAGTGTGCCCTCCCATACACACACACAGAGAAACACCCATCCTGAGTAGGCTGGAGAAGACACATGAATAGCACCCCTTACCCGTGCTCCGTGGTGAAAGGGGCCTCTGTTGTTGTTGTTGTTGTTGTTGTTGTTATTATTATTATTATTCTCAGTCTCTTTTATGAGGCAGGGGCGGTGCCTTAGCATGGGGGAAGCCGTCTGGGAATTTCACGGCACCTCCACGCAGTTTATGGAGATCCCGCCCTCTCCCCTCCTTGGTTCCCCATCAGGCCCAGGGGCATCTTGGGAAGGTGGGCATGTCTGACTGACAGATAGCACCCTATTGTGGGGCTTGCCAGGACTGCAGCTCAGGTAGGCTTAACCAGCTGCCTGCCTATTCACACCCTGTCCAATCCACTATTGTGTCTGGAGACCTCAGCAGGCTTCTAGCAGTGATTGACAGATCCAAGGATAAGTCACACCTCCAGAGGATTTCACCCAGTACAGCAGAGACACACATGCTTGTACATGCTTGAACATACAGAGAACATGCAGCAGAATAAGACACATGATAGGCCAGGAAACCACCTTACTAAGTTTTTTTCAAATGCAAAGTAGTTTTAAAGTATCAAACAATACTATCAAACGTAAACTGTACTGCGAGTGCAGCACAGAGTGCTCCAATTAGTCCAGGGTCAAGGGCGACCCCCCCCCCCCCCGGGGGGAGCAGGGGACTGGGCCTGTGGGTGGCCTCACGGGAGGCTCAGAGCATGCATTGTCTTTGGAGAGGTGCCCTGCCCTTTGGTTGCCGGGACACTCCCTGGGGATTCCGCCCTGCACTGTCTCCGGCTGGGCTTCCTCCCGGGCTTCCTCCCAGACTTCCTGGTTCATCAAGGTTGCTGCTTTTGTGCTGAGCTTCCAGTTAGCACCTGCTGTGCCCGCCCAACATGAACGCAGGTTCGAGTCCCCGCTGCACTACGTCCACTCCAGATCCCTGCTAACGAGGCTGGGAAAGCAGCAGAAGATGGCCCGGGTGCTTGGGCCCCTGCACCCACGTGGGAGACCTGGATGGAGTCCTGGTCCTTGGCTTTGGCTTGGCCCAGCCCCAGCTGTTGCAGCTGTCTGGGGGAATGAATCGGTAGATGGAAAGAGAGAGGGAGACAGAGAAAGAGAGAGACAAAAGAGAGAGGGGGAGAAGAAGAGGAAGAGAGAGAGGAGAGAGAGAGAGAGGGAGAGAGATTTGTGCAGGTGTGTCTCCCTCTAACTCTGCCTTTCAAATAATCTTAAAAAAATAAATAAATAAAGACTGCCTCTTCACTCGCCTCAGCTGAGTTCCAGCACCTGAAAGCGATTTGAAATAAACCTAAAGGCTGCTCCAGGGCCTGGTCACAGCCTTACCCAGCGCCTGCGCGTGCTGGGGGTTGCACATGCCCCGTTCTCCGGGGGGCGGGGGGCAGTGGTCAGCTCAGGCTGCGGAGCATCTAAGAAGCTCTGCCGACCCTCGGGTCAGCGGGGTGGGCAGCGGCGTCTGCGAGTCCGTCATCTCCGACTCTCAGGTAAGCCTCAGTGGTCGGGGCAGAGAGCCCGGTCCAGGCTGCACAGGGTCCCCGGCTGCTGCCACGAGGAATCCATTTTCCCGCCTTCCTTATTAAATGTAAGGAGTAGGAGTCCTGGGAGCTGTGCTCCCGACAGCAGTGGAATCAATAACATGTAAGTGTGGCTGGGGAATCCTCAGATTCTTGGAGATCAAAGGAAACATGGATCAAAGAAGTCTTTGGAAATTAAAATATATTTCAAATTGGCTAAAAGTGGAAATACAACTGATTGAGGTTTGTGGGATATAGTGAAAGCAGTGTGTACTAGAAAATTTATTTTAATGGGTTATCAGAAAAGATTATCTAAAACCAGTACTGTAAGAAGTTTCAACATTAAGAGAAAAAAATAAGCCCAAAGTATACAGAACAAAAAATAAAATTAGAGCAGAAATCATGAAATTGAAAATAGGAAATCATTGGAGAAATGAAACAAAAAGCTCTTTTGGAAAAGATAATACAATTTATTTACTTCTAACAATGTTAACTTTTTTAAAAAAATATTTTATTTATTTGAGAAGTAAAGTTACAGACAGAGAGAGAGAGAGAAAGAGAGGTCTTCCATCCATTGGTTCACTCCCCAAATGGCCGCAACAGCTGGAGCTGCGCCGATATGAAGCCAGGAGCCAGGAGCTTCTTCCGGGTCGCCTACGTAGGTGCAGGGGCCCAAGGACTTGGGCCATCTTCCACTGCTTTCCCAGGCCACAGCAAAGAGCTGGATTGGAAGAGGAACAGCCAGGTCTCGAACCGGTGCCTATATGGGATCCCGGCGCCACAGGAGGAGGATTAACCTACTGCACCGTGCGTCAGCCCCCAGGTGCCAGTGTTAACTTTGAAAATGAGAAAAGATACAAATTTCTTCTATTAGAAATGAAAGATCATTCTGGCACTGCAGCTCACTAGGCTAATCCTCCGCCTGTGGTGCCGGCACCCCGGGTTCTAGTCCCAGTCAGGGCGCCGGATTCTGTCCTGGTTGCTCCTCTTCCAGTCCAGCTCTCTGCTGTGGCCCAGGAGGGCAGTGGAGGATGGCCCAAGTCCTTGGGCCCTGCACTCATATGGGAGACTGGGAGGAAGCACCTGGCTCCTGGCTTTGGATCGGCGCAGCGCGCCGGCCATTGTGGGATGAACCAACAGAAAAGGAAGACCTTTCTATCTCTCTCTCTCACTGTCCACTCTGCCTGTCAAAAAAAAAAAAAAAAAAAAGAAAGAAAAAAAAGAAAGATCAGGGGCTGGCGCTGTGGCACAGCAGGTTAATACTCTGGCCTGAAGTGCTGGCATCCCATATGGGCGCCGGTTCTAGTCCTGGCTGCTCCTCTTCCCATCCAGCTCTCTCCTGTGATCTGGGAAAGCAGAAGATGGCCCAAGTCCTTGGGCCCCTGCACCCGTGTGGGAGACCCAGAAGAAGCTCCTGGCTTCAGATTGGTGCAGCTCCGGCCGTTGCAGCCTTCTGGGGAGTGAACTCGAGGATGGAAAACCTCTCTGTCTCTACCTCTCTGCAACTGTCTTTCAAATAAATAAAATAAATCTTTAAAAAGAAAAAAGAAAGATCAATCAGTACTGATACCTCTGACATTAATGTAGTAGTAAATGAATATTATTAATTCTTCAACAAATTTGATAATCTAGATAAAAGACACAAAACTCACAAGAAGAAGAATAATCTGAATAGGTTTATCAAAGAAATTGAATCAATAAAATCTACCCAAAGAGATATCATCAGGCGCAGATGTATCCCCGGGTGAATTCCACCCAACATGGAAGAAATGACACCGTTTCCGTATACTCTCTTCCAGGAGATGGAGGCAGGTGGGCTGCTTCCCGAATGATTCGTGAGGCCCTAATTACCATACTGCCGGAACTAGACAAGAATGGTACAAAAGGGGAGAATTACAGATCAACATCTCATGAACATGGATGCAAACATTCTTAACAAAATATTATAAAATAGAGTTCAGTACAAGGATATGATAGCCTCACCAGGGAGGGTGTTTTCTAGTTAGTCAAGGCTAGTTCAATATTCAATGTCGGCATCCCATGTGAGTGCCGGTTCAGCTCTCTGCTGGTGTGCGTGGGAGGGCAGCGGAAGATGACCCAATGCTTGGTCCAGCTTCCACCCACGTGGGAGAGCTGGATGAAGCTCCTGGCTCCTGGCTTCAGCCTGTCCTGGCGCTGGCCATTGTAACCCTTTGGAGAGTGAACCAATAGATGGAAGATCTCTCTATGTCTCTCCCTCTTGCTCTGTAACTCTTTTTTTTTTTTTAAGATTTATTTATTTATTTGAAAGTCAGAGTTACACAGAGAGAAGAGAGGCAGAGAGATGGAGAGAGAAGTCTTCCATCCTCTGGTTCACTCCCCAACTGACTGCAACAGTTGGAGCTGTGCCGATCCAAGGCCAGGAGCCAGGAGCCAGGAGCTTCTTCCGGGTCTCCCATGTGGATATAGGAGCCCAAGGACCTGGGTCTTCTTCTACTGCTTTCCCAGGCCATAGCAGAGAGCTGGATTGGAAGTGGAGCATCTGGGACTAGAACCGGCACCCATATGGGATGCCTGTGCTTCAGGCCAGGGCGTTAACCCACTGTACCACAGTGCTAGCCCCTGTAACTCTTTCAAAATAAACTTTTTAAAATGAGGTATTTAATTTAATTTTTTAAAAATAAGTGGGCAGAGATCCAGTTCTAGGGCCCTGCTTATCCACTCCCCAATGGGAAAGAAAAAAATTGGCAGAAAAATTTCATATTTAGGTAAGCCCATTGAAAGTCTCTGGAAATTGCCCTAAAGACATACATCGAATGAAGATACTCATTTAAGAAGCTTTCCTAAACCCCAGGAAGATAGTAGGATCTGTGGCTCTTAAGCCACAAACTCCTGCTCTCCCCTCCCTCTCACTCCGCCCCTGCAATGAAATTCTGCTGAAGGGACACTCCACTAGGAAGGGCGTGGGCCAGCATCACTGGTCACCTTCCTCCAGCCCCCGGGCAATGGCTGTGGGGTCTCCCTGGGAGGGACAGGCCACCCGCATTTTTCACCTCTCTATTTCTGTGTTGCAGAAGCCAAAGGTCAGGCCAGAGTGAGTGGAAGGTCAGGGACTCTCTTCCTGCACCCAGCCCTAGGCAAAGAGTCCTCTCCAGGTTCCATGGGCTGGGCAAAGGGACGCCCTGGTCACCTATGCACCGGCCTTTGCAGAAGGTGGCCGTCCCACGCAGGGAGTTTGCAACTGGAAAGACCAGAGACTGCTGCCCACCAGGTACCCTGCTCAGCAGCCGGCTGTCACCTTAGCAGGAGCAGGTCATGGTCACCAGCCTCAGCTGCAAAGCAGTTTTGCCACAAGAAAAGAGAGCTGCGACGCTCTCCCCAAGTTTAGAATGGGATATGGTGAAGTTCAAGGACAAGGGCGCTGTCAAAAGCAATGGAAATTTTGGTAGGAAGCAAATAAGGTGAGGGTAGTAGCTTAATGAGTAAGTCCAACTCTAGGTGACCAGAGAGAACCAGTGAGAGAGACAGCAAGGAAGAGCCCTCCTTGGGTGCAAAGAGAAAAGATTAAAAAGAAAAAAGAAACAGTTGATACTTCCAGTTTAAAATGGACAATTAGATGGATATTGTGTTGTACCCGCTCTCAAGGCGCACTGTGGCAGGTGTTTGGTTCACTGCGTCTCTATCGGAGTGCCTGGGCGCGAGTCCCAGGTCGGCTCTAATCCAGCTTCCTGCCGCTGCACAACACAGGCAGCAGATACCTGCTCTGGGACTTCGGTGCCTGCCATCCACATGAGACCTGGATTGAGTTCCGGACTGCTGGCTTCGGCCTGGCCTGGCCCTGGCTATTGTAGGCATTTAGGCAGTGAGCTACTGGCTAGATAAACCCTCTGTCTGCGTGTCTGTTTCTTTCTCTGTCCACTAGTCTCTTTCAAATAAAATTACAAAATGTACAGGGCCACAGTGTAACACAGTGGATTAAGCCACTGATTGCATGCCAGCATCCCCACTCTGAGTGCTGGTTCGAGTCCCGGCTGCTCCATTTCTGATCCTGCTCCTGCTATGGCCTGGGAAAGCAGTAGAAGATGGCCCAAGTCCTTGGGCCCCTGACCCAGTGTGGGAGACCCAGAAGAAGCTCCTGGCTTCAGATCAGTGCAGCTGCAGCCAAGGTGGCCAATTGGGGAGTGAACCAGCAGATGGAAGACCCCTCTCTCTCGCTCTCTCTCTGCCTCTCCTTCTCTTTCTCTGTCACTCTGCCTTTCAACAAATAAATCTTAAACAAAAGAAGAAGACATACAGATGGCAAATAAGCACAGAAAAAGATTACAAATTGAATTCTCTTTTTTAAATTTTTTTATTTTTTGACAGGCAGAGTGGAGAGTGAGAGAGAGAGACAGAGAGAAAGGTCTTCCTTTGCCGTTGGTTCACCCTCCAATGGCTGCCGCGACTGGCGCGCTGCAGCCGGCGCACCGCGCTGATCCGATGGCAGGAGCCAGGTGCTTCTCCTGGTCTCCCATGGGGTGCAGGGCCAAGGACTTGGGCCATCCTCCACTGCACTCCTGGGCCACAGCAGAGAGCTGGCCTGGAAGAGGGGCAACCGGGACAGAATCTGGCGCCCCGACCGGGACTAGAACCTGGTGTGCCGGCGCCGCAAGGCGGAGGATTAGCCTAGTGAGTCACGGCGCCGGCCAAATTGAATGCTTTTTTAAAACCACACTTGTTTTTTAGGGTGTAGAGCTAAGAGGATGACAACAGGAAAAGAGACCATTTTGGAAGCAGCAACAGAGTGAATGTAAACTTGTGTACAAATTCATGAAAGCTAGATGCAATAGATAAGGCCTTCGAATTATAAGATTATTTTAAAAATTCTGCATGGTTTAACTTCAGTCATGGTCTACAGGAGAATAAAGATAGTTTTGCAAGTCCTCAAAAAAATTAACTTCAGGGAAGATAGAAATTTTTGAAGGATAGGAAGAGTCATCGTCATTGCTTACATAGCTCGGTTACACTGTTGTAAACATTGGCTGCCGATTTAAACAAAATTTAACCAAAGGAGACAGGGGTGGGAGGTAAAATGTGCACTCGGGAGACGCAGAATCAGGAAAAATGAAGGGAAACCCCGAGGGTCTGCAGCTGGAGGACAGCAGACCGTGCCGACACTGGAAAATCAGGAAGTACCACGGAAGCCTGCAGGCAGCCAAAAAGAGGTGAAAGTGCCTGCCTTTGAATGCCAGCCAGAGTTCGGGGCTGCTGTTTTTATAACAGCCTCGGAGGAACTTTTCGACTATTTTTTTTAAAAGATTTATTTATTTATTTGAAAGAGTTGCACAGAGAGAGAAAGAGAGAGGTCTTCCATCCGATGGTTCACTCTCCAATTGGTCGCAACAGCCAAAGCTGTGCCAATCAGGAGCCAGGAGCTTCTTCCGGGTGTCTCACACAGGTGCAGGGGCCCAAGGACTCGGGCCATCTTCTACTGCTTTCCCAGGCCATACCAGACAGCTGGATTGGAAGAGGACCAGCCGGGTCTTGAACCGGTGCCCATTTGGGATGCTGGAGCTTCAGACCAGGGCGTCAACCTGCTGTGCCACAGCACTGG